TTACATACAGATTAGGACTATTCTAAACACTGAAACATAATGCTGCAACAAAGTGAAACTCAATAAAAACGAGATATCATACGATCCAACTTACGTAAGTAAACAAAACTGTATATGAACACAAAGACAAACAAGGTTTTAAACAAAACATTAGCATTAGTAAGGGAATCAAAGTATGAGATTGAAACGTCAGGTCCTGGGCCCCTCGGGCGCCGAACGGGGCCCAACACAGGGGCCTGGCTCGGAGGAAGATGGCGACACTTCAAGAACTTCGCCCTTTTACAATTTTACAAATCCGAACGTATATTTGCGCTGACCGTTACTTTTATGCATTCTGAATGTGGATGCGACGGCGCGGCTCAACTTGAGAATAATGACGATATGACTTGCCATTATATTTTTATATGTTTTTAAGATATGTTGTAGTAGCTAACTAAAAATAAGATAGCTGAATAAATGTTTCTGCTGCTGAATAGAACTTGTTAAATTTCTTCGACATCTGTAAGTCTGTAGTTAGGTGTTTATTGTTAACTATGAGAGAGTGGTTTATAGGTTTTTGTATATTACTTATATCATATCATATCATATCATATCATATGTTTGTTAATACAAAATGCAAACATCTGATATGACTTGATTTATGATTATGTCATATGTCGAAGAAAAAGTAACAGGAAACATCCTGTACCTATGCAAATAGTTCATCGAATTTGTCTTCAATACTTCTTGAATATACAAAGCTAAGTGCAACAGATACGAATTGCCAAATAAGTAATTCACAAATAAAATGTAAATAAAACATCTAAAATTGAACAAATTCACGGTCAACAGCCATGTCCACAACAATCGTACGTCGTATCATTCTATTGATATTCAATTCGGAATCGCGCGGAGAAAGATCGCCCCGGGACACCGGCCAATTGAATTTGAAAACAGAACATCGAACGCGCGCCCCGCTCCCCTCCCTCCGCCCCGGACACTGCCCCATACCCCTCCACTGTGATGCCCATACATCGATGCATCATGATGGAATAGATCTGGAGAAAAGTCAACAAAAGCTCTAATATACCCAACTATTAATACGGTATTTGACAACTAGTCAATTTCAATAGTTTTTTCGAACTGTTGAAAACGACAGTTTTCTATGAATTTTGTACGAAATTGTGTATTGTGACGTTAAGTTTTTCTAGCGCCAAACAGCATACTTATTTCTTAAAAATTTTCTGGAAAAGACTAAAATTAAGTTGGTCATAAAATCAACTAATGAAAGTGTGATTACTTTTTAATATTTTATTGTATTGAATAGTCGAAGTAAATTATTTTTGATTAAGGAAAGTACCCAATTCCACTCGAAAATATGATCTTTTGGACAGTCTGTCCGGTAGTCAAACTGCCATTTCAATAAACTACTGAGGTAGTTCCATCCAAAATCAGTACATAGAGATCGACTTTTTACATTTGTTCTGTAGAGATGTTGTTAAATATTTAGATCGGTCCAGACATTTTGTCTAAAGACCGGTTATTGAAATCGACAGTAAATAAAGTACTATTTTCAATTTATTTAATTGTCGGTCTTTGTTTTTGTGTACTACATTGCAAGATGCCAGAAAAAAAATACTACATAAACTTCCAAAGGTTTGTCTTAACCCTAACGTGCCCATGATTTGAATAAGAGGTTAGGTTAACTAAAAATTGCGGGTTACTTACGTGAGTAACGTTTAGTATGTCTCACGACAGTTATTATAAAATAAGTTGGATATGAATTGAGTTTTTCACTAAAGAAAATTCTATAGTAAACGCCTTATTATCACCATATAAAATACCATGTAAATATGTTTTCGAAAATGATGTTCTCTCAGTCATTGTTTACGTTGGTACTTGGTACTAATAGAATAAAAGATATCCCGTGTCCCATCCAATCATGGTCACTGTAGCCGCAGTGTGCCCGCGCGGCCATTTTCCTGCCGATAGACAACAGTTTTATTGTTTTTATATTTATTTATCAGACAGCGTTTTTTCGTTATCCCTCGTAGCATCGCTGCGTAGCCGCGTAGCACCGTAGCACTGGAGTCGTAGCCGCGTAGCTGAGTGATGACATCATGATTCCCTATAATGCAGCAAATATCAATACGGTAGAAACAAAAAAAAATATTTTTTTTAATTATGTATTTTTAGTACACGTAGCTACGACTTATATTGTGAAATTGTCAATATTCAACCATGTATTTGTATACATCTTTTTGTAACGCGAATAAAACAGATTAACTATTTACAAACTTGCATAGACGATTAAATCAAATAGTAAACTATTGAGTATATAAATCACATAACATAACATCACGCCTTTCTTCCCCGAAGGTGTGGGCCGAGGTGCACATTATGGCACTTAATACCACTGTACCACGTAACACCCACTTTTCACAATTTTATGTTATGGGTCCCATGTACTAGGGGGTGAGCCTATTGCCATATTTCGGACACAAATCCAGACTCCGTGCTACCACTGAGAATTTGTTAAAAACCCAGTAATACGTTGCCCGACCCGGGAATCGGACCCAAGACCCCTTGCAATTGCGACCACTCGGCCAACGAGGTAGTACCTAAATCATTAACCAATAAATAATAACAAATTCATAAGTGTGTATGACATGTCCTGGTGTATCGCCACATCCTCGCTACGCCAACGTAGTCAGGTGAACAAAGGTCCGCTTGATACGTCAGCGCGATTTAGAATAGCCACCCTCGTTTTATCGTAAACTCTTACCACGTTACACATTACACCTAACCACACCAAAACTAATCTTCTTACCTTGTAATAAGAGTTACATTTTCCGCAAAAACAACTTTGACACTTATATGACGATTTTATCAGTGTGTATTATTCGATTTTATATCTTAACCAGTTGTGATAGAAGTGATTATAGGTGTAAATGTAAAGTTGTGGCATGGTGTGCCCGGGTCCGGCAGTTGGGATTCAATTCAATATGACAGGCGTTTGATCGCGTCGTTTGGTGGATATTACTCAAACAATGTTCGAGTGCTTTTAATACCAATGCTATTGGCTATTTGATTCCTTGTATATTCTCGACTTCTTGTCATGGATTTTGTAGACTAAATCGCCTGCCTATTGCCTCGTCTTAGTTGAATAAAATAATATGTATTATAATCTAAGTACATATATTTATTTAAAATACTCTATAAATTACATTTTTAAATACTATTTACAAAATAAAAAATAACATTTAAAAATATGAAGAATAGGAGCCGACCAGCAGCGGGAGCATGGTCCAAGCTACGATACCTCACGATACGTGCCGTTTCTAGGCGAACTGCCTTCTGTATCAGGCCCTTGATCCATCCACCTAACGCCAGCCTCCTGAGATGGATGTTGAGGTTTTTAGGAATTAATCCATTGGCCGACACGACTATCAGTGATTACAATGATTCAGTGACTACAATGATAGCAATCAACACTCCACATGTCGACAACCTCGTGAGCTAAGTCTAGATATTTTATTTGTTTATCTTTCTCAGCTTTCACGAGGTTCTCGTCATGGGGAATGGTGACATCGATTATCATCGTGCGGCGTACTTGTCAGTCTATCACTATGTCAGGTTTAATATAATATTCTTTTTGCATACAAACTACACTTCTTAAATAATTAGTGTTACTGACACAACCAAAACAGTTTAATTTTTTTTATTGGATAAATCAGTAAACGAGCATACGGGTCACCTGGTGGTAAGTAATCGGCGTCGCCCATAGACACCCGGAACAACAGAAGTATTACAAGTGCGTTACTGGCCTTTTAGGGATTACGAATTTGAAGATTATTGGGGATTTAGGATAATCGGGCCTCCGGTAACCTCACTCACACGACGAAACATAACGCAAGCGTTGTTTCACGACGGTTTTCTGTGAGGCCGTGGTAACACTCCGGTCAAGCCGACCCATTCGTGCCGAAGCATGGCTCCCCCACACTTAATCAATTAAGATCGATTTTTATCCGACTGAAAGAAGAGTATTGTTTTTGATATTAGTTGCGTGAAATTAAGCAGTCCATCAAGCAAAAAGAGATGGCCTAAAATTGCCCAAAATATGAAAATAAAATAATATTTTTAGCTCAAGACCTTTTAGTTCAAAAAACGTTCGAGCCCTAACAAAAATCTTCGAGCTTCATCGTAAGGTTTAAACCTGATCGAAAACATTCGAAGTATTGTTTTCGAGCAGAAATCTGAATCCCGAATACCAAATCCTCAACACTAAATTCTGAATCCCGAATCCGGAATTGCAATAGCCAAATTAATTAATTAATTAACAAATTACTACTTAACTGGCTAAACCCCGAACCCTGAATGAATGAATCGAAATCTGATCCCCGCAGCCTGAGTCCTGACCTGACCACAGACATCTTTTCCTTTCTTGTTACGGAACCCTAAAAAAAACTATTTCAGAAGGCACAATAAAGAAGATTAACGATTTATTTAGCTGTGTTATGTGTAACGTAGTAAGAGTTTATGAAAATACGTAACAGTTTCTATATTTGGTTTTAAAGTAATTATTACCGAATTAGGTAAAAATTCTATTCGTAGTTGGGTAGTTATGGAATTAACAAATAACATTATAAGATGTAGGTATATAGCGCCATCTCTACAGAATCGAACGAACCTTTTAAAACGTTAGTTTTTATACCAGTACATAGATGGCAGGCACTAACAAACATAATGACAATAATAGAATAGAAATTACTTTAAATGATTTACTTACTAATAAAAATTTACAGTCATTTTTTTATAAAAACATATAATTTAATTACCTGTTGCATAATTGAAATAATATTGTGGTTCAATGACCGATAAAAAATTAAGTGACAGCCGTTGTCATTTCAGTTGGCGTTTGTGAAAAGCTGTCATTGAATCCGGCGGCGGGCAAGCGACCGGTCGTAAACAACGTGGTCATAGTTTTTGTTTGTATTTAATAACGCTAAAACATTTCCAAAATGAAAGGCGACAAGAACGTTGACATCCAGGCTTTGAAAGACATCGCCAACAAGTTGAGGATTGACAGTATCGTCGCTACTAACGCGTCCAAATCGGGGTGAGTGGATAACCTCACTACATTCGCAGTTTCTTTCAAGGTCCAATGAAGGTTATTTCGCCGATTTTTCATATAGTACAATACTGTTCCTAATGAATTTAACTAATTTTGATGTGTGAACAGGTACTTATATGAAATTACCTGCGTATGTAGACAGTCTGATATACACTGCCCTTCATTTCTTATTTGAACTTCTACAATCCGTTTACTGCCTATTGCCGGCCGGTAACAGTTATTCAAGTTCATAGGTCGTATGTATTTAACAATTCCATTGCAGTTTCATTACGTATTGCCCCAGGGTTCGCATGTATTTCCATTGTAGGTTATGACGGGACCACGTGACGACAACCCGTCGCCCGTTGCTATCACGCCATGGTGCCAAGGTCATCGCCCTTAATATTATGCTGTAGCGACCACGATCGATTGTATTTTATTTTGCTTATTAGAATTTTGCCTTGTTTTGTTTACATAGCTATTTCAAAGAGTATTTATGTGTTGATTTGGTTCTGAATAGTATTTTTTTTATTCCTTATTTTCGTTGTTCATAGCCAGTCAATGAGTATACCTAACATACATTATAAATATACAATTGTATCTATTTTCTAGTAAGAATAATAATAGCTTCAATTATCAGTATATTCACGTGAGTAACCCGCGATTTTAGTTAATTTAGTATGTCTCACGATAGTTATTATAAAAAAATAGCTTCAATATTTTAAGAGTGATTTAAAACAAACAAATGTTAAAATAAAGCTTGTATCTAGGAGTTATTGTAATGGCACTTGGTAACTCATATCAGATAAAATGTGTTTACAACTACTTCAAACTGCTAACAACAGTACTTGACATACAATCAATGTTTATAATTAACAAATAACTTGTTACAATTTCTCATTACTTGTGAGCTAGGCTTGAGAAATGAAGATGCATATATTTATCTACAATTTGATTATGGTGCTTATTCATAGATTGCATCAGCTTTCCATAGAGTTTGGTAGTCATCATGATTCAGAATAATGTATTTATGTTGATTACACACATCAACTATATTTGCCAACTAATGACTGAAATTCATAATTTTAGAATGCAGTATAAATTCACATTTAGTGTGAATAATTATGAATTAGTTATTAACTCTGTGAAAAAACATTGAAAACATCACTTATTTTGTAAAGAAATATTTTTATACCTTTGTATTTAACTTTTATCTAGCTCACAGTATATTAACTTCTATAAATTAAATTTTGATAACAGTAAGTTACTGAGCTAATGACACAAAATTAAAGAATTTTGCTTGATGTACTCCAAAAAGTATTATTTGTTTGACCTAGCACAACTGATTAGTTTATATTTAAGCAATAAGCTAAAATTAACTGACACAGTTTATCAGATAAGTAGTTGTTACATAAGAGGGTCGTAGCTCTCTAGCAGGGAGCGGTGAGGTCGCACTGATTGTAAGAGTCAAGGAGATCTGTAATGTCAAGTAAAGGTTACAAACCGTAATCTATTTACTTGAAAAGTTTCATGTGATTGTTCATAAAAAAGTGTAGTTAATAATTCTTTATCATCTGCCCTATATCTTGTGTTCAAAAGGAGTTTGTATCTTTTCTAACTATTACATTACATGTGTTTTCACCTTGGAAGCATATTATGCACTAGCCTAGCTACTCCCACGCGATTTAACCCGCTCGGTTCTGCTCTTATGGATCATAGCGTAATGTTTTATTACCTATAGTCTTCCTCGATAAAAGGACTATCAGATCCAATAGGGTCCAATAGGGCTGATGCCGATACAGAGCCGCGGATAACTTAATGGGTTACCAGGGCTCCGGCTCGAAGTGCAGAAGTAGGAACAAGATGGTTTTTAGTAAGAGTCTAACACTCCTTCCCACCTCACCCAGGAGGCAGCAGTCATTCGATGATTTTCCCACCTTAAAAAAAAATCTATTACAAAAAGAATTACTTATTCAATTTGAACCAGTAGTTCCGCAGATTAGCGCGTTCTAACAAACAAACTCTCCAGCTTTACATAATAGTATAATATTATAAAACTAAACAAGAAATATCAAATCACTTTGATCTATAATCATGCAACAACATAAAAGAAAACATTAAAGATTTGATTAATAGAAACCATGATAAGATTAAGTGTGAATAAGCATTATTTAACTACACACCAAATAAAGTGTTATTCAATACTTATTCTAGTATCGTGTATTGTGTTAATCATCATAAATAAGTGGTTGTCATGGTCACACGATCGACGATTACCGCGCGAATGTTGTTATGTGGAACAGTAAGATCTGTGCGTGAAATATTGTATTTAGTTTAATTAGCAACAAAGATATAATAATTTAAGTTGTACTGTCGGTAGACGGCTCTAAGAATGTCAGGCAACGTTTTGCAATTTTCGAAGTTTTCAGCATAGTTTATATATGTGTTTGCAAGTTATACCCGCTATGAAAATTAACTCGCCTATAACTTTCACTGAAGCTATTTAAAAAACCTTTGGATAAATGTCTATGACGATAAATATTATTCTGTACTACCTAGTTACTTTTAACAATAAGTTTGTAGCTATCCTGCACTAGATATTGAATGACACACAATCTTGTATAGTTGTGTGTCAAATGACGGTGCTACAGCAAGCTGTTTGTCGTACTCACGCCGACCCCTTGTCGACCGTGGGCAGTAGCATTCATACACGTAATACTTTTTAAATGTACTCGTAGTTAATGTGTATGTGCTTTACTGCGAGTCTATTAATATCTTGATTTGAACAGTTAATAATGTCGTTCTTACTGATATAAGGCCTTAATTTAACTTACATCCTCCTTACCTACTTAGGAATAAATAATTGCTTAACTGCACTCCTCTAAGTGCAGTGTTTGGGCTACCTCAATTAGGGTTCAACGCTCACAAGAAATAACTAATTTTTGTTTGTTTCGTACACAAATGACTATGAGCTAGTTACCTACGCATGTTCTGCACGTTTCAGATTTTAATAGGTATACATGTTGTGAAAGGCAACTGGCGAACATGATTACATAAGTAAATAATAAGTTATCGTAGGTAGAAAGGCAGACAAAATAAACCAAGATAATGCACTGTTTGTGGAGTTCTAGATACACAGTCGCGGTCTATATCACTTGCAGTCATGCTCCAAGATTACAAGAATGCGATTTCGCCAAAACAAAAATTTTATGTTTAATTAATTCGTGATAATCATGTTATGTGGACTGCTAGGTAGGCAACAGATGTCTGATGTCCGTCTATCTACGCTATGCCAACCTGTTACCTACTCAATTATAAGTGTACAGAGATAAGGCGTTACAGCGATCGTAGACAGCAAAAAAAGTCAGAATAAATTCCTTCTTCAATAAAATTCTTAAGTTTATCGTACTGAATACAAGTTTAATTCTTTCAGGCCTATATAAGGACTGAATTAGTTAAATATTCATGCGTGACTTAACCTTGAATAAAACCAAAATTGATACCTCAAATTTTATTTTTACAAGGACTAATATCAACCTACTTCACTTAGAACTTACCTCAATGGCAGCACATCAAACAACCCAACCCTACCAAAATTATACAATTTTCAACTTTATACCAAAAGGATAAGGTTGAAAATCTACTAAGAGACTGGTTTAACTTAATGTATTGGTGTTTACTTAACAAGTGCATTTTACAGTTTACAGAGAATCTGTCGTCCGATTAACTTGATGTACTGGTATTTTTGTTGACAGTCACCCGACATCATGCGCGTCCATGGCGGAGATCATGTCGGTCCTGTTCTTCCACACCATGCGCTACAAGATCTCCGCGCCCAGGGACGCGTCGGCCGATCGGTTCATTCTCTCCAAGGTAAGTTCAAACTTGACAACTTACTAATGTTATAAAGCTAAAGAGTTTGTTTTTTTGTTCGTTTGTTTGAACGCGCTAATCTCCGAAACTACTGCTCCGATTCGAAAAATTATTTTTGTGTTGGATAGCCCATTTATCGAGGAAGGCTACAGGCTATAAAATTAGCGAAAGTAGCTAGTATGTAAATAATTGTAAAGGAATTATTATCACTTTTCTTCAATTATGTCCCAGTGCAGAAATTCAATAATGATTAGTACTATATTCTCGGAATGGTGTAGAAGTAACTTATACAGACACAAAACTACCACAAACTGTCCAAATTATTTGCTGAATAGATTTGCAACGTTATTTCTTTGTGATACAGTCGAAAATCGATGAGGGTACCAATATAATGTAACCGTGGGAATGTGAATAACTTGTACCTGGTATCGCATTGCAGAGTTAATGTTGCGTGTTGGAAGACACGATAGTCATTCTATTCTGGCTAATGAAGTACTTGTCAATTTGTCATATTGCGCTAAATACTTGGTGTCGTATTGCGAACACTGACTGGACCACGAACCGATACTGTACCAATGCTGATCCAATGTTTTATTTTGTACATAAAATCATGGTTTTATTTTTACACAGGGGTAGTCAGATGTGAAGTTGTTAAATAATATGTCTAGTTTATAAATCCCGTGTGATAAAGAGCAACCACAATTTTGGAAAACTTGTAAATGTAATATAATTCAAAAGCTTGGATAATTAATGCTTGGCAGTGCACAACACTCATTATATAGCGACCATTCAGTATAATAATTATGCCTAATATCTAATTTTCTTACGCAGGGTCACGCCGCCCCCATCCTATACGCGGCTTGGGCTGAGGCTGGCCTGTTCCCCGTGGAGGAACTGAAGAACCTCCGCAAGTTGGACTCAGACCTGGAGGGTCACCCCACTCCTCGCCTCAACTTCGTGGACGTGGGCACCGGCTCTCTCGGACAGGGACTGGCCGTCGCCGCCGGTATGGCGTACGTCGGGAAATACTTCGACCAGGCTCCTTACAGGTAATTATGAAAGTTTTAATGTTATTATTTCATAGTTAGGACATTATTTCTTATTGGTATAGTAACTGGTATGTTTATACAGAGTATACTGCCTGGTGGGTGACGGCGAGGCGGCGGAGGGAAGTATCTGGGAGTCTCTGCACTTCGCGAGCCACTACAAGCTCGACAACCTTGTCGTCATCTTCGACGTCAACAGACTCGGACAGTCCGAGCCTACCTCGCTGCAACATCAGGTAAACAATACTTACAACAGTAGAACCAGATTTAAAATCGATTGTGAAGGGTAAATGGCAGTTTTTTCTTGTAAAGTACTGTCATTCTGCTGAATCCAGGTCAAACTCTGTGCAGGTCATAGAACTAGTTCAGAATACTTCAGAGTAGGTCATAGGTAAAATTCTGAAACAGCACCCTATTTATGTAATTCAAATAAAATTAAAAAGGGAATTATTCCTGATGATTTTAATATGAAGTTATTGTTTTCCTAATTAACAGTTAGTACTACAATTACTGTTAACTCGTAACTAATTCATAGCAATGTACCACATTATGTCGCGTAACTAAGAAACTGATTAGATAACATTGTGTGCTGTTATTTTATTACCAAGTATTGTTGTCATGATAGGTTGCTATTTATACTAGATGTGGAAATTGAACTTCACCAATTCATTCAAAAAACTCAAACCTTCCTTTGGTTAAAAAATTTAACTTCATGCACTCAATTGACTTACAAATACTATTTATTGTTGACTTACCAAAATTTTATTTTCTGGTACATGAATTGAAAAATTAAAATCCTGTACATAAATAATTACCCATCTATAATACAACGTCCCTTATCCACAGCTGGATGTGTACGACTCCCGTATGAAGGCGTTCGGTCTCCACTCGCTGGTGGTGGACGGCCACGACGTGTCGGAGCTGGTGAAGGCGTTCGACGAGGCGGCCTCCGTCAGCGGACGACCCACCGCCATCATTGCCAAGACATTCAAGGGGAAGAACTTCCCCGGCATCGAGGACTTGGAGAACTGGCATGGAAAGGCGCTCGGAGCTGAGGGAGAGAAGGTTATCAAGGTAAGCTGTGAAATATATGTATAATAATGAATTAAGGTATTTAAAGTGGACTTAATGTTAATGATTTGACTGATATTACTGATGCTTAGCATTGATAAGTTATGACCTTTACGCAAACCGTTTTATGCGTGTTTGTATGGCGTTGTTTTCGCGATTTAACGGTACAAGTGCGTGTGCGCATACATTGACGACCCTTTGTTGCTACTCGTTCTAAACCATCTCATGTAAAGACTTATTGGCACTAACTTGACATGACACAATAGTGCATACAGTTATTGTATACTACCTATGTACAGTTGGTGCAATATTAAACGTTTGTCGTACTCACGCGACCGTTGTCTGTCGATGTGGGCAGTAGCATTCAAACAAGTATAATTATCGTTGTATCTTACAATACTTAAGATTTCTAAACTAAATCTTCTTGAACCTTCTCCCACTCGAAGTATGAAATTGGGTCTCAAACTATGAAGTAAAAGTACCATTAATCGACGAGCATGCATGAAAAGATTGATGACTGTTGATGAAGCGAAAGAGGTATGTAGGAATCGTAGCAATTTCCATAGTCTCTCGCACTGAGAGACAGGTGTGCAGTTATGTATGTATGTCTCAAAGTATACAATACTTAAGTCCCCATGGCGTCCCCAGCACCTCCAGTCCCAGATCAAGAACAGCTCGATCTCCCTGAAGCCGCGCGCGCCGCTGGCGGAGGCCCCGCGCGTGCACCTGGCCGACATCACGCTGTCGGCGCCGCCCGCCTACTCCGCCGGGGAACTCGTCGCCACCAGGCTCGCCTACGGCACCGCGCTCAAGAAGATCGCTGATACTAACATGCGGTATGTATCATGCACAATCAATATTTATTTATTTAAATTTCATTGCACATACACTGACAAATTGGCGGACTAATGCCGTTGGCATTCTCTAACAGTTGACCATTGGGCATGAAGTATATAACAGAAGTTAAGGTAATAAAATATATTGAAGAGGGAAGACAAAATTGTTATAATCAATAATACATAACTATGGAAGGTATAGGGACTTACAATAAATATATATCCTAAAATATTATTACTCTATAAAATAATTATGTTTACTGGAACAACCATTAAATGTTTTATATACATTTGCCATAAACTGTTCCTTTGAAAAGAAGTGAGTTAGTACCGGCCTCAATATATTGATTTCTAATGGCCGTTTGAACCGACCACATACAAACCATCTCTTAAAACTTAAAAAGAAGTTGATAAAAACGGGTATTAAACTCTATTTTGTTGTATTTTATAGTAGGTATATAACTGTCCTATAAATGTTTTAGTCTACACTGGTTATCAGAAAACACAGCATTGTGTTACTTATCAACAGTACATTACTTATAGCAAAGATTGCGTTTATCCAAGTGCAATAAGCAATAATGTATAGATGAAATGGCCTACTTAGCTAGCGTTATTGTTCTAACACTGTAAAAATAACAGCTATATAGTAAACTTATCTACTACTAGTTTCTGCCAACGGGCTAGCTCGCATTCTCGTAATATATAAAGTAACCTATGTCCTCAGCCGTTTTCACGTGAAGAAGGAACGAATTGACATACAAATTGTCGCAGTTACAATATTAGTTGGTAACTTCACTTGATAATATTATTGTGAGATTAATGTTAACGATTGTTTTGTTTCTGTGTGCAGTGTGATTGCTTTGGACGGTGACACCAAGAACTCGACCTTCAGTGACAAGCTGCGCAATGCTTACCCAGACAGGTAAAGTTTAATCTTGATATACTTTTACTCAGAATTTCATTACTAGTTCATTAATCAGAATTTCATGACAAAAAGACTTGGTGATACTTTGCCCGAACCGGGAATGGAACCCACTCGGCATTAAATTCAATATTTTTAATCTAATATCCAAATTTATATACAGGTACATCGAGTGTTTCATCGCGGAGCAGAACTTGGTCGGCGTGGCGACTGGCGCGGCGTGCCGTGACCGGGCTGTCGTCTTCGTCTCCACCTTCGCCGCATTCTTCACCAGGACCTTCGACCAGGTACTTACACAGCAATATTAGCAGTTTGTTATAAATAATTTCAAAAAACAAAGGATACACATGTGGACACACTTATGTAACATCTACATTTATCAAGCTCTTAAGCTAACGTAACTCCTAATAAACCATTATCGTCAGATCCGTATGGGTGCGATCAGTCAGTCCAACATCAACTTGGCCGGCTCTCACTGCGGAGTCAGCATCGGAGAGGACGGACCCTCGCAGATGGGACTCGAGGACCTCGCACTGTTCAGGGCCGTGCCCACTGCCACCGTCTTCTACCCATCGTGAGTACTTCACAATCTGTTATCTAGTAGAAAGCCTTCACTGTTGAATTTGCACTATATAAGTGCTTGAGCAAATAAGTACTCTTAAACACATATCCTGAAATACTCATTTTGAAGACGCGCTTAAGTGTAATTCTGTCTCTACAAATTCTTTATAAAATGACAGAAATGCACGATATTTAAGTACAACTTAAAAATTGAGTAGCCTTTCTGTATTCGGGGATTAGTTTTTGGTATCTACTGTTATTGAACCGGGCCTTATTGTACTGTATTAGTTCCATTTAGTAAGAAAAATATCTATAGCAATCATTACATAGCATTAGCATATTTCAGCCCGTATCACATCCCAAATGCGCAACTTAATAATTATGGAGAAACTCTCCAAAACGACTAAGATTGCACTGCGATTAAAGTGTTTCATGTGTTGATATTGGACGATAATAATGGATGCGTGTCCAGGGACGCGGTGTCGACGGAGCGCGCCGTGGAGCTGGCCGCCAACACGCGCGGCATCTGTTACATCCGCACGTCGCGCCCCAACACCGCCATACTCTACCCCAACGATGAGGTCTTCAAGGTATGCTCGCTTGCTTATACTACAAATACACTATTTTCGATCGTTATCTTTCTCACTCTTTTTCTTGAGATCCGTGGGTTTGATTAACAATGAAAGAAAGTATCTCTAATAAATGTTTGAACAAACAAAATCATGTTATTAATTTTAACATTTTTGCCTGATGGATATTGTTTTTCGCGATATACCACGATTCAATACTGATCCTTATTTTAGAATTTTCATATTAGTGTCTTTCATATTTTCAAGACTGGGTATTTAGAGTTATTAGACTATGACATTTATCAACTGTTTCGTCTGTACAGGTCGGTCAGGCTAAGATAGTCCGTCAGTCACCAAAGGACCGCGTGTTGCTGATCGGAGCAGGAATCACTCTGCACGAGTGCTTGCTGGCTGCCGACAAACTCAAGACTGAGGGTAAACTACACTGATTTGATTTATAAACTTGACTAAAATTGGACATTAATTGAATTGCCCTAACATTTCGTCCCGTGTACCTGCTATAACATTTCACGCATTATACTCCCCACAGGTATCGAAGCCCGTGTCCTGGACCCGTTCACGATCAAGCCCCTGGACGAGGCAGCCATCCAGCAGCACGCGAAGGCGTGCGGCGGGCGCGTGGTGGTGGCGGAGGACCACTACCAGGCGGGCGGGCTGGGCGAGGCCGTGCTGTCGGCGCTGGCGCTGGCGCGCGACGTGGTGACGCAGCACGTGTGCGTGCGCGAGGTGCCGCGCTCCGGCCCGCCCGCCGCGCTGCTCGACAAGTACGGCATCTCCGCGCCACACATACGGAACGCCGCGCACCAAGTACTCAAGGCGTAGTCATGTCTACTGCCTCACTATAAGGTCCTCTACTATGACTGCAACACCGGCTCCATAGCTAGCTTCAAGATTAATGCCAACATCATCATGTCTAGCTAAAGAATAGTATTAGCCTCAATGTCAGAGTGTCTATTGTCGAGCTGCATCGTTCAGGCTAACGTGTGGAGCCGATGTAGAGCAATAGTGTTCTGTCGATACTCGATAGCGACGCCGTTTGTTTTTATATGAAAATGTTACAGCGCCTCTAACTGTCATTTACGGAATTCAAATTTTACGTAGTCACTATCGAGTATCGATAAATATTATCAGCAGACTCGTAGTAGAGGCACCGTCTACAAGTTCCCGTCACTCGGTCCTTACCCTCAGCTCGCATTTTGTATTGTGATAAATTCAGTAGCTACTAATTGGTGGGTTATCAACACCTCTCAATTTTTATATAGATTTGATATTATCTGTGAGCCATCATGTTGAATTGTTAATCGTTTGCGCACAATTATGACTCAAATGTAAATTGGTAATCATGTGTGCAGTACACAGTCAAAATTAAACATTCCTGCTGGCAGACATTCCGGTTAGCAACCATGTTGTAAACTAAATGGTCCAACTATTGAAGCAATCAGCTTGAACAGTTTTATCTTTGTAGTTCCTAAGGACATGTAATGTTAAGTAACACGTAATAACGCATTACGATATATTGCAGATCTTTTCTATACTTTATATTTAATGTTAAATATTCTGTGCCTTTGTTTACTGACGTGTTTTTGCACAAAACACAAGGCAGGTGTTTTAGATGGATTTTTGAAGGTTAGTGTGTAAGAGTATATTTTATAGTTATTTTTGTATCGCTCGTGGAGGCTCGCTCGCGGCCCGTTGTTACTCGATATATATTGTGTAGAACTGTTGGTCAAATTATTATATTCTAAAGTTATGTCCCACTGTCGCAGCTCTCACAGCTGCGTCAAGTGTCTACATTCATTTGGGTGTCTGTTGTTAAATCATACAAGATATTGTTTCGGTTAAATGTTTTAATTGGTATATTACATTCCTGTTTTCATTATTTCTTTTATATTTTATTAATCACGGAATCAAGTGTTTTTCTTTACATTAAAGTTTATTGTATACAAGTTGTCTGGTTTCATTTTTTTATAAAAGTAAGAAAACATTTTATAAACAATATTATTGAATTAAACACATATATAGCAGCAATCAATAACAATGTATAACTTATCGTAATGACTAGAATGCCTCTGGTTCGCAAATATGTACAGTTTGCCGATTGTCCTACACTACAGTACCTAGAGCTAAGTTAGAGGTGTCACGTGACTAGCTTTGTTAGTTTCTCTATGTCTTAGTATATACAGTAACAACATTATATAGCACCGCTTGTACATTTGCTGTAATATAATTTAAATTTAAAAATCTCGACTTAATATGTAAGTACATGAAATAAATAGGCCTGTCAGTGAGTAGGTACAGCATTAATATATTAAAATAAACATTCTCAGTACTTGAAGACAGACACAGTGGTCTGACAATCTTATGCGAATCTAGGATTCAGTACAACATACACAGTAATATACAACAACCTTAAAATTAACAACGAGTACTGTACACGAAGCGAAGATACATCTTTAAACAATCAACATTCAATATGGACGGAGTGGCAATCAAGAACAAAATAACACAAATTAATAGTTTAAAATCTCACTAAACACAATTATTAAATGCATTATTCGACCGCCGAGCGGCCATGTTAATCCTCCAGCATCCGAGTTACTTGACAATTATGTACAATCTTGGTTCTTTCATCCTAGACAGGTGCTCCCTGGGCACGGGCCTCGGTCCATCCTAGTTATATCTGGGTTCATAGGGTCAGCCCCACTCTGTGGATGGTGCGGGATCTGCCGGCGGGGGCGGGGGTGCAGAAGGCGGAGTGGAGGGGGGCGCGGCCTGTTCCTCCAGCTCCCCCGGCAGGTAATCCTTCCAGCTGCGGAACAAGTACCGAGTGAACTTGCGCAGCTGACGGAACTTGCAATACGTCGCGCCCTCCGCGGACTGCAACTGCTGCGTCTGTATCAGAAACCCCTTCTCTTTGAACGTCTGCTCTAGTTTTTCTCTCTGCAGACTCTTCCTAGACTTTCTCTTCTTTTTACTCAAGTCTTCTTTACTCAGAGCAGTACCATGCTCCTCTAATTTAGGCTGCGATGTAGACGTTTCTGCTGCTGCAGAGTTCTTGCCTTGGTTAGAATCACGTTGCAGGTACTCGTAACCTTTGTTCCCCTTATTGCCCGTGCCGCTGTAGTATCTGAAGTTTCCTCCAGAGTCGACGGAGAGCATCTTTTTCTCTTGAAGTGAAGGCTTAGAACCTCCCGTAAACTTAAACTTGCAAATGCTGACTTCAGTGGTGGGTGTGGTGGAGTTAGTCTTGGTTGGCATCGGCGGTATGAATATAGCCGACCGCTTTCGTTTCACTGGCCCCTGCGCGGGGTTAGGTGATACCCTCTTCATCTTACTTTGGTCGGGACTTTGTTTCGCCTCTTCCACTTGTTTTATCACTTTTGGGTCTAACAGTTCTGAAATTTGTTTGAGCACTAATTTGTTTTTGTTATCGTCTATTGATGAGTTCTCTGACACTTCACTAACACTGTTTGGCGTAGACGTAGGTCCCCTGTTATCACCTTCAGCACTAAACGGTAGCTGGCCGGCGGCCGCTAGCCGTTGGTAATATAATAGTTGCGTCTGTAGTGCTAAGGGATGCATGTAGATGCCAGCGTTGGGCCAGTACACGTACCCGGGGAACTTGCCGTCACTGTCGGGGCTGGACGTAGACTGCGCGGGCTCCGACAGCGTGGGCGACACATTGCGCGGCCGCGACAGGTCGGGCGAGCTGCTGGCAGTCACTGGACTGAGGTTCGTGTTCCTCTGTATCACGGAGATAGCGTTGGGAGGCTGCTCGAGCTTACTACTGTCTTGCTCTGCACTCTCAGACTCAGCTTCAGTCTTTACTTCTGGGAGGGAGGAATAAATGTTTCCAAACTTCTTTTGTATTTGTATCTTTAGATCGTGGAGGTCTCTGATACAGAGGTTCAACGGTTCATCGTCACTATGCAAAGGTCCTGCGATAGTGACCGGAGCTTCCGGCATTGGTTCGTCTGGACTGGGGAACTTTGGTGGAGTCAGCGATTCTAACCGCTTTTTATTTTCTTGTGACAACTTTCTTTCTAATAAACTAGAGATGATTTTGTTCTGTAAGTCAGTTTTTGGGTTACTCGTGGGCGGGTTGTCTCCGCCCTTGAAGGGAGGGCACATGTTCAGTTGGTTCAGCCTCTCTTGCGCAGAGGGTGGTTGTCCTGGCACTACGGTCCCGTAGTTCTCGTATATTAAGTGACAGATGTCTGCCTTCTTCGGTTTCCGCCCTCTCCTTGGCTTGGAGTTGTTGAGAGTCATTTCTCCCATGTACGGTAAGTCGTCATACGTGACAATTTTGCTCGGAGCTATGGCAGGATTCTTTTTCTTCTTGTCGTCTTTGGTAGGTGGCTTGGCAGCCATGTTGAGCATTGAAGACACCTGCGGCACAGTCAGTGTGCCGGTCTCATTCTGTATGCCCGCCAGCCTCTGCGCCCAGATCTTGAACGTCTCGTTAGTAAAGTTGTTGATGTCAAAGTTAGTTTCTACTTTGGGCTTCTCTGGCGGTTTCTGTTTCTGCTGAGCCTGTTTAGCTGCGTTGGCCTTCTGCAAGCTCTGCTCGTAGTGGTCGAGGTACTCCTGTGGCAGTGCTTGGTGATGGAACTTAAGTTTCCATCGATTCTTCTGTCTGTTGCGAGCGTGCTTTGGTTTCGGAGACTCCTGTTTTTCAAGACGCTCCTTACTGGCTGACAAGAGCTGCTGACGTAGCAACTCTTTGTTTTCAGATGTCCTGGAAATGAAAAAGTAATTTAATATTCAGATACTGTTCCGTTATTAGAAGAAAAACAAATAATATTTCTATTTGGAGCGCGTGTTGTACAGAATCCCCAGTACACTCACGTCTGGGAATACAAGTAGGTAGGTCCGCCATCCGCTTGGAAACTTGGCAGGAGTTTGGACAATAACTCCGATGTTGTGCAAGTTTACGAGAGTCATTGAGAAGACATGGCGGTGACTCACTGGTGCCTCACTACCATTAGGTTATTAGTACCAAATTAATTGTTTACGTAGAAATACTAAGGTATTCTGGTAAATTAATTGATAAGTAATTATTTCTGTAAATAGGCCACAAATTAGAATTTACCTAACCGAGGTTTACATTTGAAGCGATACTTGCATCTAAGTAAGGGCTTCACAGAAAGATGGTTCCTAGCTGTAAACTTGTAGTAAGTAGGTGTTTATGTTTACCTGTGCAGCGCTAGTGGCGCCGGCGGGTGCGCGGGCGGCGGCGGGGGACACACGTCGCCGCACGCCACGCGCCGCATCACTTCTGAAACAATAACACCCACACGTTATCTCACTGACCATCCACACGTTATAGAACACAATTATAATCTCATTAATTGTTATTAGAAGATTTACTAAAACGAGAATACATAATAATAAAATTATATAAAACTTAGGTTACATTTGCAACTTGCACTGCGGTGTAAACGCGAGTAAAGACACCTAAGACCTTGTCGGTTCAATTCCCAATTCAAGCATTCTGAATACCGTGACGACAAGTTACTGCATCAATGTAGGTACAACATTTCATTCGAAAGGTTTGTGGGTTTTTCTATCTACTCGGACATTCAATACAGCCTTCTTAGAAGAGAATGACAGTACCTACTTATCTACTAACTAATGCAATAGATTGCACAAACATGGCGGGTGTCTGAATGCTACTGCCCACGTCGGCTGACGGCAGCCGCGTGAGTACGACACACAGTGGAGGTTCATGTCGCACTGACAGCTGCATACTGCAACATTAGTATTGCAGTACTTATTATCATGTCAGTGCTTAGGATGTGAATATTTTTCACAATATGAATAGAGGGAGCGCTGTAATAACGAAGAGATGATTAAAGCAAGATACCTAACTGAAAGTATGTGTGTGACTAAAAAGAAATTCATATAAAACTCCAAAGTAGCAATGTAGGTCATTAATAAACAACCAAAATACTAAGGAATAAAATATTTGTTACATTCTAATTGAAATAACTAGAAGGTAGGTACCTACTTCAAAATTCTACAGAGGTAAAACAACAATAAAGAAAATCTATTTGAAATTTAAAATTATAAAGAATGCATTAATTATCCTATTTATAAATATCCAATTAGTGTCGTTTCAAAGGCGATAGATATTCCTACTGTTTACACAAAAATGTGTGCAATCTGTGTTTGTTAGTACACACCTACCCACGTCAGGTAAAGTGAAATACATTCATTAATCCGAGCGTAGCTACAATATAGTGTATCGTAAATCATTGGTGTTTACTACGCATGCGTACGAGCCGCGAGCGAGGTGATCATCATCTGATCATTCAGGTCATAAATCATGTATTGTTACGTCACTCACTACTGGTGAACTCAGTGTAAGGAACGAATTATCAGCTCTGTTTATTCTTCGTATTAGGTATAACAGGAACTGTTTTTACACGAGAGTAGAATTAATTTGGTAACTTATCGCCATATCTAAGTGGCAAGTTGTGGCGACGGCTGTGAGGCTATGCAGTGTCTGTAATATCAGTAAAAAAGCTATAAAAGATAACCCTTGTATAGATTGGTGGTATAATTAAATGGAGCCGAACAGAAACAAACATATTTTTTAAACTACTGTCATAAACTGAAACTAAATAGATAAACCATGTTCCCAAAATTAAGTAAATGTAAAATGTACCATTCCAGTTAGTTAATGTAGGTCCTTGATCTAAAACTACCTACTGTAATGGAGAAACAGCTACCATGAACCAATTCGCCCCACAGCAAACACATTCGGCAGGAATGGCTACCCGTCGAGCCATTATTAGTTGGTCGGAATTAGGGCATCAGAACTATTCTAGCGGTGGTTATCATACCCTCATGGCCGAAAATACAGTGTGTTTGTATGTCAGTACGTTGGGTTCGGCAGAAAGGCGTGAAACCCGAGGCGGGTCGAGTGCGGCCCGAAATACTCGCGCCGGGAATGGTGCGTCGCGTGCGCAACCACTGAAACACCGCACGCACCTATTTCGCAACAAGCTTTCAGCTGATGCGACGCTGTAATCATCTCGCACGGACACGCCTGCACACTCATCCACTTGCACTTCAACAATGTATTACAGAGATATTTATGAATAAAATAATGCAAAATTCAACGCCAATGACTATTAAGTAATCCGTCATGACTTTCCTAGCTCCAAAATAATATTTAGAAAACAGATTTTATGGCATTTCCACGATTAATCTAACTGTAGCCTTTACATTATTTCTATACAACGTCCCAGTAAGTCGGTGCGTCGGATGTAGGTTATCTACCCACAGGTGACTGTTACCGTGTCACAAGTTAAACATGTCAATAAAATCTGCGATAACAAAGTAACCCACTATGCACGGATATCAAGTATGTTTGATATCGATTCATGGGGCATTCACTGAATTCCTAAATAGAATGGAGTTTAATTTAGATAGGTTCTATATATATTTGTCGTCGATACCACCCAGCGAGTGAGTGGGCGAGGAATTAGTGAGATGATTAACATTCTGAGAATGAGACGCGGGAGGAGTCAGATAATGATGTTAGGTATTGTGTGACATCGACATGACGTGACGTCAAGGGCACGTTTTTTTCATTATAGATACTAGACAGTATTCTAGTAAAAAAAATATGAGGTCACGCGGTAACACTGAAAACTTTCCAAACAATTTCAGTTACCTATAAGGTACATACTTAATAGTCAGTATTTAATCAATACTCACCAACAATACAGACTACCTAAACTTTAATAAATGTAATTTCCACCCCCACATCACACAATAGGTAATTAAAAAACTAGTTGTAAACAAATTTCCTACCTACGACCGTGTCTAGTTCCTCGGTACAGATTCAACAACATTGTAAACTATTAATTAGCTGCACTACACGTAACGAGGTAAGTTCTGATTGGGTGTGGTGTAGTGATGGGACTGCGTTGGCGGCAGTTCGCAGTTTCTCACATAAATTTATCGTCCACGAGTATCCGCGACTGCTTGTGACGTGCGAACTGTTTACTCAACACTTTCGCTATTCGGACAGCATAACATCACAAGCACGCTCTCATAAATTTGAGCTTATAGGTAGGTTGGGAGCCACTAATTAATCCATCAACTGCGGTATTTGCTAACAAACGTAGAAACAATTTAACAAATGTTTCACTTTCAAATTCTTTCTTGCAAACGCTTTTAAAAAATCATCTATTTATTTACTTTGCTTTCGTAGATAAATATGTAAACTGTTTTCAATCAAAGTACATTACATAATTAAATATCTCTGATTTTATGGTTTGTGTATTTCATGACTGTTTAGATTTTGTTTATAAACATGTTTGAAAATAAATACGGTACGCCACATAGTTCACAGTTAAAAGAAAGTTCTATCACAGATCCACGAAGAGTAATGAATCACGCTTCGAACGGCTGGTGTAGTGGCACTCTGCCATCAACCATACGGAAGGAATCCCAAACGTAAAAAATGGCGTGTGTTTATCACAAAACTGCTATAAATACAAGTGTTACGATATTGGATCCTAAAGATCTCCGCGTGATGTATGCGATACAGATACCGAATCACAACAATAAGATATGAGTCACTCGGAACAGACCGCACCGGCTATAAACTGTATTTATACAGAACCCTTCACGTTTAAGGCGATCATCGGCCGCTATATTTAGACATATTATTAATATCATGATTATCTTAATATTTTATGGGCAGAGGTTGCCTTTTCAGCGAGCATTTGGAGTTTAAATCGAATTCATTTTTATACCACATCGCGACATGTTTGTCACAATTTGCCTGTAGAATTGTGAAGTAAATTACTTCCCGTTTTGTTCTCATCCTCGTATAAGGAACGAAATAAGTTTTCAAATGAACTCTAGAAATACATGAATGATATCACAATTCATAGTTACGCAAACGATACAGACCTACTGTCACATCTGGTTCATATTAATTATATTGTTTACATCGATAGTAACCTCCAAAATTACTGCAGATGACTTCATTTAGTATTTTAGGAGTGCAGCCGCATAGATCTAGACCGAGCTGAGCACAATATTTGGTACTTGTAATAGTAGGTACTTAGTCATTTACAGATTTGAGTTTGATCTCGCAATCTCACTTCAATAGGCCTAATACAATTAGTAGGTGGTGGTAGGTAAACTAATGTAATTTAACCAGGATATGGAGCAGTGGTTTTACCTACAAATTGTAGAAAACAACAACAGAAACCCAGCCACTAAAATAAGGAGGAAATACTATTGTAAACATATTATTGAGGTACATGGAATTCCCAACAACGACATCATCTATAGAAGTTAATTCAAAGCATTTCCTTTAAGATTTCAGCTAAGTTTGTAGTGTGTGGAGGAGGCTGGTCATGGCTTACTTATGTAAATATTTATCTTGAACCCATTTTTGTCAATACCTGATATTATAAGGCCCATGTGACAGAGGGTGAGTCGATCTCGATGGCTATACATTTTTTAAAACAGACGCCATTACATCGAACCACGAGGTTTCTTTCGCATCATAATTAATAATAATGCAATAAATGTGGCCTTGTCTGCGCCTGTGCTCCACATTGTAGGCACCTAAGTAAAATTACATTCACAATAAAGTACTAATTACTAATAAGCTAATAAATAAAACAATAATTATTATTATTCATGTAAATGAAGTATTTCCTCAAATGACAGTCAATGACATGACGCAGGAACTCAAGTGAATCCGTAGGGTTTGCGGTTTTTATTAATTAACCGTAATACGTGTTTGTTTCACCAGAAGCCTAAGTGCATAAGTAATAATTGACCAAATATAGAGTTACGGTAAAGTTTGGGATGTGATTCTATTTTTGTATGTAATGCTAACGCAAGCTCCAATTTAGTACCAAACAAAACAAATGTACCTACTTACATCTGTTCTAATGTATTAATTATTTTTATTTTTATTTAATCACACATTAACTTATTTACGCCTTCTACTAGATTGACATTATCTCCAGTCAATAATTTAACCTGTCTTATGTGCCTGCGATCGCTACGACAAAATTTCCAAAATCCAAATGTCAAAATGTGTCAGTTTCCGATATATAAAAAGACTGACTGATAGTCTCTCGTTTATATTACGTCTGTTACTCAATAAGTATTTTTTACTGATTTTTAACTTCATAATAATATGGAGTTAAGTTACATGACGATGAAATCATTATCGCGTGCGACACTTTCTGAGTAAATAAAAGTTAGTTTTAGTTATAACTTACTACTGTTTGT